AAAGAGTGGACAATCTCACCATGACAAGCATTCAGTTTTATAAACTACTCAAGTAGTATATATTAAGCATACTGAAAATCCCCACATGGTATATAAATAATTACTTCTATTATTAATCCCTCTTACAAAATGTGGGTCATCTTAGATATCCATACCAGAAGTGAAAAGTGCTCCAACACAGCAGTACTGTACCAGGTACAAGATTTAAAATTCTGACCAGTCTCATTAATTTTATTGGGTCACTGCCTGAGAGACTAACAACAGCTAGGAAATGAATTTTCTTCCACTGAAAAACAGCACTGGAAATCCATCAAAGGAAGAGTGCATAACGTGGCCAGCACAGCTGACTATATCAAAATTTCCCCCCATCACACAGTAGTTTTGTTTTTTTTCTTAATAGCAACTGTAAAGGCTAAAAAAAGTATGCTTTTTAAAAATCAATCAGGATTCTTCTAAGAGCCATAAAAATCTCAAAGACTACCTGCAAGTTGAAGCTCTGACCTACCTGAAGGCTTTAAACCTTATTATTTATTTACAAAATTTAGATCCCACCTTTCTGCCCAATCAGGGCCACCAAGGGAGCTAACAATTTAAAACAGAGCGTTATAAAAACGGAACATAAAACCAATTAGGCCCCGAACTAAAACACACACAAAAACCCACAGAAATAGCAAGTAACATAGCATAGGAAGAAGGAGTCACTGAGGGAGGGAACAAAAAAATCTTCACCTGCTGACAGAAGATAGTGATAGAAAGGGACAGACATATATCCCCTGGGGAGGGAGTCCCACAATTTTGGTGTCACAACTGAGTAGATCCTCTCTGGGGATGCCATCCACCAAACCTCAGAGGCAGCAGCACGCAAAACAGAGCCTCAGAAGATGACCACAACAGTCTGAGAGTCATATGAGAGACAGCAGTCCTTCAGGTATGCTGGCCCCAAACCATATAGGGCTTTAAAGGTCAATACCAGCACTTTGAATTGGAACCACTGTAGATGAGGCAAGACTGTGGCAGTATACAGCAAAAAACAAAAAAAAACTATCAATATTGTGATGCTTGATAGAAATTAATGTTTTACTTACCAGTGGACTACCAGTGAGACCTTCCAAAAGATCCAAGAGCTTTCTCCCATCACGAAGATCTGTGAACATGTCCTTTATTGGTGGCTTTCCACACTGTTAAACAAAATTAAGCTTTTAGTTTTAGTTAAGACCTTTAAAAACTTAAGAAAGCTAGCATGGAATAATGGTTAGAGTGCTAGCCTAGGATTTATTTTGAATCTATTTTATTTCATTTATAGTTCACCTGTCTCCCCAATGGGGAGCTAAAGTGGCTTACTTAACATACAACAAACCTCAGGTTAAGCTGAGAATGTCTGACTGGACTATACTACACTGGATCCATGGGAAACAAGCTCAAACATCCACCCTGCTGTGGAAGCTCACTGGGAACTCCATATTCTAGAGATGGTTTCCTTCACCCAGCCATCATCAGAGTTTGCAACCTTCTCCCCACTTCTTTGCTTATGAGACTGCCTCCATGAAATCAGCCTGAGAACTGCCCTGACAGTATTCTTACTGGCTTTTTGGTGTTTGAATTTAGACCATGAAAGCCTCCAATAATCAAATCAAAACGGCTTGAACGGATTAGCCCTTCTTACATCTGTTGTTTTTTCTGTTGAGTACTGATTTTTTTATTTTTTTACGAGTAGGGATGAAGGGAAAGAAAAAGAACAAAATACAAGAAGTGATATAAACTAGAAGTTTAGCAAGAAATTGATTTCTAGTTCATCTTGTACAGTACAAATTGTGCATTTCTGTATTATGCAGACAAGACATGGGAATCTGATGTGGGAAACCATTCACAACACAGAAAGGTCAGCATGCAGGGTAAAACAACAGTTTCACTGAATGAATTTCAGCATATTTTGCCAACCCAGCATCTAACTTTAGAATGCCTATTTTCCACATATTTTTATAATGCAAAAGAACACACTTTTTGTTTTTCAGTTATCCAAGGCAGTACAATAAAGCACATTCTTTGGTAGATCTTTGTTTTGTTGAATTGGCCACATTCTTTTTTTAAAAGCGCTGTTTATATTTTTTGCAAGTTAACAGAAAATCACAAATGGAAAATTTCAGCATATAAAACAGATTGCTTCTTAAAATGGAAGTAAATAAGAGCAACTATATTTATTTCGAAACTTGCAAAACAAAAGAACAAGAACATAATTTAATCCTTAAAATACAGTGCAATGTTTAAGGAATTAAGGCTGTAATTGTAAGATTCCTTACTTGGAAATTACTTTGAGGAGAAAAAAATAAATGTTTGGAAGACTGAAGCATTAGATGGCTGAGCCTGACCAGCCAATATTCCACCTTCCTTACAGGGCACATACAGTTTCTACCCAACACCCACCACAGTTCTGCATTGTCTGCAGCAACAGAATTAAAAAGATTAAGAAATTCAACAGTAATCTGTTAGCACCTAAGACATTTAATTAAAGACTAACAGTAACTAAATTTTGCTTTCTAGAAAATAATCTATTAGTTTAAAAATACCATATAAACAAATTACAGATTTCAACAATAACAGCTTTCCCAGTCCCTAAAACACAAAGGCTTTGTTTTAAATAACTTTAACATTTGGTTAGTCATGATGCCTGACTACCTAAGTTTTGTTTACAGACTATAAGTATGAAGCAATGTTTTGAAAACAAATTTCCAGACGTCCTGGATCCTGCCTTGATTTCCATAGGCATATGGAGAAGGACAATTTTTGCCTATCCCTTTATCCTTCAACAGACCTTTGATTACACCTGTAAACTATTTCTGAAGGTCCCCATTAGCAGTATTTCAGGGTTTGGGACTGCTGTGAGAGAGAAGAACCAGCAGAAATCACCCTCCCTTGTATCATGGAAATATAGATGGGATTCAAGCTGACAGTTTGGATTAACCATGATTAAACTTTACATCAGGGGTGTCAAACATGCGGCCTGCAGGCCGAATCAGGCCCACAGTGGAACTGGCTGTCTCCTGCTTCTTCTTCCAGTTCTGCTGCTGCTGCTGCAGCTTAGCTTGCTTTGCCAGATTCTTTCAATCAGTCAGGAGAGACAGATAGGCAAGCTTCTATTCCCTGCACTGGCTGAGGCTCCTCCCCCTCCCAGAGGGACAGAGGGAACAAGCCAAAACTTGCTTCCTGGCCAAGCTGCCTAAATTACACAGGAGAGAAAGGCAAGCCTTTCTCCCCCTCCACTGGCTGAGGCTCCTCCCCAAAGGGAGGGAGTGAGTGAGGGAGGGAGAGCTTGCTTTGCTTGGCTACCTCAATCACATGGGAGAAATACAAAGCACCTTTAAGACCAACAAAGTTTTATCCAATGTATAAGCTATTGTGTGCATTGCTACAGTGTGTGTGTTTTGTTGGGCTTGTTATGCTGTGACTCTCCTGCGTGCAACTGGGTTTCCTCCCCCTTTTCACTGTATTCACGCCCCCATGATCCAGTCTTTCTTAGTAGGAAAGCAATGTGAACGATTTAGATGAGGAATAACAACAAGCCAGTGAGGTGGATTAGGCTGAGAATGTGTGTCCAGACCAAGTTCACCCAGAAAATTTCCTTTGGGGATTTTGAACATAGACTTCCCAGATAGTAGGCTGATACGGACCACTGAGGAAGACTATAGTTTTGTCATAGTGCCTTCTCATGTTGTTGACCAGTACACAAAGCAATTTATGTACAAAAGCTTGCAATGCCCAGCCATTTCATGTTTTCCCCTGGGTCCTAGGCTCAGAACTCTGAGCATGAGATTCTGTACTGAATGTCAATAAATCAAAAGTAGTCTTCCAGCTTACAGATACACAGTTGAACAGCATACTCAGGATTGCAACAGCACAGACATTTTGATGCAGTAATTCAGAGCAAGAGGTGTCAGTTATCAGACGCTGTTAAATAAACAAAATATTGAAGAGTGCTAATGTTTTAGTCATGTTTTTATTTTAAGTTAAAAAAAAAAACTTTGTGTTTGTGTCCTTCATAAAGTTTATATCTCCGCTGCCTGGTATTACATTTTTGACACACATGGCCCAGCCTATCAAGGTATCATTTATGTCAGATTCGGTCCTCATAACAAATGAGTTCGACACCCCTGCTTTACATCTACATTGAGCAAACTGTGGCAAAAACAATTTCCCTGCCTCTCCAACTTGCTAGTTTATAAATGGGAATACATGTCTCTGATGTTTCCCCATAACAAGTGGGTCTTCTTAGCTCAGCAAGATAAACCATAGCCGCTCTGTATTTTTGAGTCTCCATTCCAATGTTGAGTCAATTACTAACTATACTTTAACATACTGGTTGATCCAGTCCATTGTGGAAGTTGCAGCAGCTGAAGCCAAGGAACTACCAGATCACATATTTATCCAACTAAAAAGACTCACCCCTCCCTGCTTATAGAAACAACTGACTGTATATAAGTTGCATAATTGTAACTATGAACTGGTGCTCTTAATTCAACACTGTCAAAAATGATGGATGGGGAAGTGAAAAACTTTATTTGCTGTGACATTTTCCTTACAGAAGACAAAGCAGTGAAACTAAAGTAATCTTCTTAAAGCTCCCGTCTATACTCTTTGTGGTATGTATTTCAAACTCCTTTAGAGATCATCGTTTTTAGTTCTAGTATCCTTTGCTGGAGTTTTCTTTTTACCAACTTGAAATCAACAAGAGAAACACAAAACAAAGTTTGTTGAACAGAATTAAAAAAAAAACCCAAAAAACCCACTCTAAAACACTGGGACAGTATACAGTGGAAATAAGACACAGCCTCTGTCATCTGGCAATAAAGGTAATGACCAGCTGCTCACTGGCCAGATAAGAGCCCTAGACAGGCCCGTTCCGGCCCATGGGCCATATGTTTGACATTCTAAAATCTAGTAGGATCCGTAAGCCTCTACAGATGGACCGTTTTAACCTGCCCCATTTCCTTCTGAGGACTAGAGCCACAATCAGCCTTGTACTGAGCAGAGAGTGACCAGAAGCTCAATTCTGAAATCAGACATTTTCTCAAAGCTCAATGAAAAAATGTTCCAGGATGAGATCTTTTTCATGTGCTTTCACAAACTGAAATAGACAATCAAAGATGCCACAAAACCCTGGGCTGGCCCCAATGAGGGACATTTGGCATGGAAATCTCCCTGAACAATAAATCTAAGTGCCTCCAGCACAGAACCTGAGAGTACTTCCGCCAGCAACAAGGTATCCAAAGAGAACTAGATGGCTAATGAACAAGCAGAATGCCTAGTTCATTCCTGGAATCCAGTAAAAGGAGCAAAGAAACAATGCCAGTAACAGTTTGCACTGAGAGACTGCAAATGGGATGACATGTACCACCACCCCGCCTTCCACTGCATGGTTGGTAATGGGCTGTGTAACCAGATGGAATTAGCATAGACAGGCACACCATGTCATTTCCCTAGTCATGCTTCAGTCACACAGGCCACGGCAATATTTTTTTTGTTGACACTCCACACAATAATGCAGTTTTTTCTTCACTAATCTAGTATTGCATAATATTACAGAAAGAGGGGGAGAGAGAAAAAGCAATATTTTTCTTTGTTGACACTCCACACAACAATGCAGTTTTTTTTCTTCAGTAATCAAGTATTGCAAAATATTACAGAAAGAGGGGGAGAGAGAAAAGCAAGAAAAAATCTGGAAATGTTAACCTAAAGTATGAGAGAAACGGGAAAAATTGCAATACCAATGTTGTGTGTGTATATGGTAAGTGCCATCACTTCTGACTTATGGCAACCTTGCTCAGGTCTTACAAACTGAGAGCTATGGCTTCCTTGAGTGAGTCAATCCATCTCGTGTCGGGTCTTCCTCTTTTCCTAGCATTATTGTCTTTTCCAGTTACTCTTGTTTACTCATAATGTGACCAAAGTACGATAGCCTCAGTTTAGTAATTTTAGCTTCTGGAAGAGTTCAGGCTAGATTTGATCTAGAACCCACTTATTTGTCCATGGTATTCATAAAACTCTCCTCCAACACCACATTTCAAAGGAATCAACTTTCTTCCTGACAGCCTTCACTGTCCTGCTTCTACACCCATATATAGTATTGGGGGATACTATAGTATGAATTATCTTAATCTTGGTCACCATTGACACAGCCTTACAC